CCGTGAAACACAGAGCAGCAGAGTTTGAAAAATCCTTGTTTGTCCTGGAGAGCAGAAGAAGTTCGTCCATTTTGTTGGGTAGAGAGCGGAGATTCGCCAGATGGATGCTAGGCAACGGCATTCGAAATCCACGCTGCCTGAGCTTCACGAGCACGCCGGCTCTCTTCCACCGTCTGCGCGTCCTGAAGCGCTTGATCAGTGCCGCTGCTCCGCCAACTACAACGTTCAGCAAAACGTTAGAATAATTCGAAATCCGGTAGAAGATTTTGTGGTGTGTTCTGCCGAATGTTCAGCAGTTCATCCCTGGTAAAACTGATCATGTTTGAGAAACAAAAAACAGGAAAAACGAACAAAAACAGTACAAACACTGGAGAGCCAAGCACTGAGGCGGCCGTGTGCGGCGCCATATTACTTGCTTGCTTGAGATGAATGTCAACATCCAGATTCTAAAATCTAAGAGACCCATTCAACCATCACACCAATGTCTTCCAAAGATGGACCACTAGATAACACGCAAGAAAGAACAACTCTTCTAGCAGAGTGAGCTCAAATGCCAACAGGTGAATTTAACCCTTGTACTTCATAAACAAGAATAATCACATAAAATCCAATGCAGATCCATTATTTCTTAACAGTGACATCCTTGTTGCAGCCTCCAGAACAAGCAGACCAGATTTAAGCCACTGGCTTGTAGGGCTATGCAAATAATCGAATGCGATTATCATGCACATCTTGTCAGTAAAGCCGGTTCTGTGATTAGTAGTAAATCTCCATCACGTGCTTTCAGATGGAGCAGCATTTACTACACAGAGCCGTAGTTCACTGACAAGCTATGCAATATTGCGTTCATAATCGTCAATGTATCGCCTGCGATTATGAATGCAATATTGCGTAGCTTGACAGTGATAGTTATTGTCATTGATTTGTGATAGTTATTGTGATATTGTTGGTCATGAACACCCTCATTAATATCTCTTATATAGCATCCAGCCAAATTAAAATATATTAATATGGCTGGGTGCCCTGATGAAATTTATGCTCTTAAATCCCCCACTGTTTGGGCACATCTTTGGGTTGGTCTTTGCTCCTAATAATCAAAGTAATTAAATGCAGACCAGAAATAGCATTATCATGGCTTAATCGATATGAAACAGTCTCATTATCAATTCATAACCCAACCCATAACACACAGATATATTCAGGACACAGATAAAGCAGGCTAGCAGGTTTTTGACAGATGTTTATGCTTCAGCCAGATGAAAATCATTTGTCAAGAACACAAGAATACCTTGTCAAGAAAAATCTTCATTTCCTATTCTATGAGATGGCTATGGCCCCGTTTAGTGTAAACAAGGGCCAAAATGTTTTGAGCTTGTTCACTTTCAGCCATATTGGGTCAAAACATGTGATCACATTGCATTTGTAGATTTGTAGCATAATAGCTCAATTAGTCAAATGTGACTTTTCAAGTCAGCTGTTGTGATAAATCAAGGGTCAAAACTTTGATCCCCACACTTTTTGTTGCTTGTGTTTTGACATGATGTATGCAGTCATGAGGATTTTGTTTCATTGTCACCCGCACCTCGAAATCTGATCACATACATGTAACTGCAACTTGTAAACACTGGTGACCACTCTGACCACTTGTCACTAGAGCCCGACCGATATGGGTTTTTTGGGGCCGATACCGATACTGACATTAGGGAGTAAAAAAAAAAGGTCGATATCGATATATCGGCCGATATTCTTTGTGTATATTATAGTACAGTACCAGTCAAAAGTTTGGACACTTTCCCATTCGTGTGTCCACACATTTGACTGGTACTATATATAGAATACAATATATACATAAACAGAATATATATACATAAACACATTTTTTGCAATGATCACTCAAATGTGGTGATCAAACACTTATAATGACGTGACAGAGATATGTAAT